ATGGAAGTGGAGGTCTACCATTAAAGATGAATTCCAGGTATAGTATATTTTTACAAACTTCCATTGGTCCAGCTTGGGCGAATGTAATATGCATGTACCCTACCTGGCCTTTCCGCCTGGAAACCATTCATGTAGACACCGAGTCCCATGCTGAGCAGCCAGCCTGCTGCATTCTAAACAAATCATCTTGTCCAATCAGAGCACACTTTGCATTCATTCTCTGAATGGCGCCCATGCTGAGCAGCCAACCTCCTGTGTTTAGAATGCAGGAGGCCGGCCGCTACCCCCATGGGACCTGGAAGCAAGTGGAGATCACTAGAATAGCAGTGTCTACTTCAGTGATAGTGATGGGCCGAACACCCCCTCCGTTCGGTTCGCATTTGAACATTCAAACCTAACGAAAGTTTGACTGCGAACTTCGAATCAGGACATATTACTAAGCGGTATCTTACTAGATCCGAGTATGTGGTAAGATACCGCAAAGCTACTAAAATACAGCATGGATTATATTATTAAGTCATGTGGTATTTTAGTAGTGAAAACATTCTTTAATGTTTCAGCTGTCAGCGGGGTTCCACACTAACAGCTGAATGTAAAAAGAATTGCCGGCAATTAAAAATTACACAAAAAAAATGGCATGGGGTCCCCCCCATTTAAACCAAGCCCTTTGGGTCTGATATGGATTTTGAGGGGAACCCCCAAGACAAAATCCATACCAGACCGTTATCCGAGCATGAAGCCTGGCAGGTCAGGAAAGGGGGGGGGGGGGGTGAGCAATCGCCCCTCTGAGCCATACCAGGACACTTGCCTTCAACATAGGGGGTGCTTTGGGGAGGGGGGATCCCCCAAAGCACCTTGTCCCCATATTAATGGGGACAAGGGCAGGGGGCTTAAAAGAATTTGGAAGACCCCTTTAACAAGGGGGCCCTCAGATCTCAGCCCTCCCATGTGAATGAGTATCGGTACATGGTACTGCTACTGATGCACAAAAAAAAAGTGTAGTGTAAAAAATGACAGAAGACAGTCTTTGACAAGCTCTTTATTAAAAAATGGGCAGCACAATGGCTTAGTGGTTAGCATGTCTGCCTTTCAGTAAATGGGTAATCGGTTCGATTCCCAAAAATGGTGCCTCCTGCATGAATTTTGCATGTTCTCCCTGTGCTTGCGTGGGTTTCCTCTAGGTACTCTGGTTCCCTCCCACACTCTGAAGACATGCTGGTAGGTTAATTGGAACCTGTCCAAATTGGCCCTAATATGTGTATGTATGAATGTGAGTTAGGAACCTTAGATTGTACACACCCTTGAGGGTTAGGGACTGATGTGAATGTTCAATATATATATGTGTAATGCACTGCGTAAATTGACAGCTCTATATACGTACCTAAAATAAATAAAAACAGCAATTAGAAAAATGTCTCCCTGAAGTAGATCCAATGCCAATCATTATGCCTGCTGCCACCGCCGACCCAAAAAAAAAGGAAAAAAAATGCTCCGTATGCAAGCATACTCCAACTGTCTGACAGCTGCGCCAGCCCAAAAGTTCTTAAATATCTAAGGGGCAAGGCCAGCCAGTGACATCAACCAGGTGACCCTTTCTCCTTCTGACATCATCATGCGCTGTGATTGGTCAAAGCATTGCATCTGGCCTGTGGTCAGGTGCATTGCTTTGGCCAATCACAATGTACTGTCAGGGCGCAGTGCATTGTGGGGCGTTCGACTCGAACATCAAACCCAACTCTATTCAGTGATTTCCAGCTTCCATGGGGATCAGCCAGGTATGAAACATATATAGTTACATTAGTCTAAGCTGTCTATATGCCATACCTGGAATTCATTTGGACCATCTAAAGAAAATGCTAGTTGCTTGGGTAAATGATTTAAAGTGTATATCTGTCATATTCAGTACAACTCTGCAACTCATGCACATTTATCCATACTGCCAGAAATCTCATTTTCTACTCCATGTTTGGGCTGACAACACAGAGCCATTGCTGCATTGAAATTCCAACAAGCTTCATCAACCTGGACTACAGAACTCTTCCTATCCTAAGCCCTGCTCTTTCTTATTCCACATGTATAGGACGATTGCTTTCCAGGTACTACTTTAACAACACTTTTTAGCTTGCTCTTCCTGTGTATTTTGTGGAATAGAGAAGCTTGTGACTCACTAGGTGTGACCTCTTCAGTGATGCCTGGTCCTCTTCACAGAGCTTCAGGTCTGACATTGAAGTACTGTACATAGAAGAAGGCCTTTACGAATGCCAATCCCTTTCTGTTTTTAACTCTATGGACAAAGGTTCTTGCACTTCTTTCCCAGAATGCAACATGTTCTCTGAATAGCAGCGAAGTGGATGAATGACGGGATCCTCTCCCCCCATTCTTCATTGTGCTTCAAAGTTAGACCTGAAGCAATTAACCCCTGCAGCACCAGACGTTTACTTCTATGAAGAGGACCGGGCACCACTGGAGAGAAGACTTCTACAGGAACCATCAGCCTACAGGACGTGGGCCATACTTAATCACAGGTAAGTTACAGTGGAGGTAGCAAAGGAAAAAAAATTATATACTTTAGCTATAAATGTAAACACTGCCATAATGGCTCAAACTACACTCACCGGCCACTTTATTAGGTACATCTTGCTAGTAGTGATGGGCTGAACACCCCTCTGTTCAGTTCGCAGTCAAACATTTGAACCTAATGAAAGTTTGACCTCAAATAGGGACAGTTTACTGAGTGGTATCTTACCGCATCTGAGTATGTAGTAAGATACCACTCAGTTACTAAAACACCCCATGAGTTATATTGTTAAGTCATGTGGTGTTTTAGCCGTGAAACATTAATTCATGTTTCAGCTGTCAGCGAGATTCCCCACTGACGATTAAATGTAAAAAGAATTGTCAATGACAATTAAAAAACAAAACGGCATGCGGTCCCTCTTCCATCCATACCAAGCCCTTTGGGTCTGGTATGGATTTTGAGGGGAACCCACTGCGCCAAAATTAAAAAAAAAAATGGTGTGGAGGTCCCCCCAAATTTCTTACCAGACCCTTACCTGAGCATGCAGCCCGGCAGCCACACCAGGCCACATGCCCTCAGCATGGGGGGGGGGTGCTTTGGGGCAGGGGGGCTCCCCCCCAAAGCACCTTGTCCCTATGCTTATGGGGACAAGGGCCTCTTACCCACAACCCTGGCCGGTGGTTGTGGGTCTGTGGGTGGGGGGAGCTTATCGAAATCTGGAAGACCCCTTTAACAAGGGTGCACCCTGTGATCCCAGCCCCTCCCCCAAGTGAATGAGTATGGGGTACATGGTACTGCTACCCATTCACAAATAAAAGTGTAGTATAAAAAAGACAGGAAACTTTGACAAGTCCTTTATTAAAAATAAAAATGAAAAAAATTTCCCCTGAAGCACATCCAATGCCAATCACGATGCCTGCTGTCACCACCGACAAAAAAACAAAAATCCGCTCTGCCCTTGATGCTGGCTTCCACCGTCTGACAGCTGCGTTGCGATGACAGTTCTTAAATGTGGTCAGGTGCAATGCTTTGGCCAATCACAATGCACTGTCAGGGCGCAGTGCATTGTGGGGTGAACGCCCGTACTGTTCGTGTGTTCACCGAACAAACTAATGGCCCATGTTCGTGTGGAACTTACGTTCGACTCGAACATGCAGCCCATCACTACTTGCTATTGCCAATAAAATTTCCCCCACACCATACACACCACCACTACCATCCTGAACCATTGATACAAGGCAAGCTGGATCCATGCTTTCATGTTGTTTACACCAAATTCTGACCCTACTATCTGAATGTCGCAGCAACCAGTCTGCCCATTCTCCTCTGACCTCTGACATCAACAAGGCATTTTCCTCCACACAACTGCCCCTCACTGGATACTTTCTCTTTTTCGGACCATTCTCTGTAAACCCTAGAGATGGTTGTGCATGAAAATCCCAGTAGATCGGCAGTTTTTTGAATACTCAGACCAGCCCGTCTGGCACCAACAACCATGCCACATTCAAAGTCACTAAAATCCCCTTTCTTCCCCATTCTGATGCTCGGTTTGAACTTCAGCAAGTCTTCTTCACCACGTCTAGATGCCTAAATGCATTGAGTTGCTGCCATGTGATTGGCTGATTAGCAATTTGTGTTACCAAGCAATTGAACAGGTGTACCTAATAAAGTGTCCGGTGAGTGTGTGTATGCACTGAAAATACAATATCCTTCCCCTTTAAATTTCTTGTGTGGCATCTGATTTATCCTGGCTGCATAGGAGCATAAGTACTGCAATCCTGTTGTCATCTTCTGTTAGGTCTGATCCAGCCGGACAGTCTGATTTGCCTTGTTAACTCCCTACTGTTTCCGAGCACCGTGAGCTCATGCATTTATATTATTGTCAGCTAATTTTCTGGGAGAGAAAGTTAAGCACATTGAAAGCAAAATAATTGAATCTACAAGTGAACTTGTGTTATTAAAAACAGCTGCAAACTTTCTTCTGAGACTTAAGAGCTAAAGCATCTGAGTGCTTAGAAATAAAAAAAAACATGTCTGTCTCACACTGAACGTCAGTATGTGTTTTTTTGTGAATATTAAATAAAATTAAAAAAACATTTAAAATAAAAACTGCACTGTGTATTTGCATACATGAGACTGAGTCTGGTTTACTGTGTTGAGCGGAAATAAAGGTTTAAATCAGTAGAGGTGTATTTAGAAAAAAATACACGGGGCAATTTGGCCTGTTAAAGTGCATGTACATCCAATCTATGTGAATGGCGAAAACAAATGCACAATGTTAGGCTACTTTCTGTGTGGATTGAATGTTTTTCATTGATTTCAAATGTAAAAAAACCCAAATCTGGCCACAAGATGGTGCTGAGAATCATAAGATAGTAATGTGATACTTTGCACCATCTTGTGGCCAAATGTGGTGATCTCTGTTTTAAAGTGTTACTAAACCCAGGACCCTGCATTCACTATATCTGGTCTTCCCTGACCCTGCATTCACTATATCTGGTCTTCCCGGACCCTGCATTCACTATATCTGGTCTCCCTGGACCCCGCATTCATTATATCTGATCTCCTCGGACCCTGCATCCACTATATCTGGTCTCCCCAGACCCTGCATTCACTATATCTGATCTCTCCGGACCCTGCATTCACTATATCTGGTCTTCCCAGACCCTACATTCACTATATCTGGTCTCCCTGGACCCCGCATTCATTATATCTGATCTCCTCGGACCCTGCATCCACTATATCTGGTCTCCCCAGACCCTGCATTCACTATATCTGATCTCTCCGGACCCTGCATCCACTATATCTGGTCTCCCCAGACCCTGCATTCACTATATCTGATCTCTCCGGACCCTGCATTCACTATATCTGGTCTCCCCGGACCCTGCATTCACTATATCTGGTCTCCCAAGACCCTGCATTCACTATATCTGGTCTCCCCGGACCCTGCATTCACTATATCTGGTCTCCCCGGACCCTGCATTCACTATATCTGGTCTCCCTGGACCCCGCATTCATTATATCTGATCTCCTCGGACCCTGCATTCACTATATCTGGTCTTCCCGGACCCTGAATTCACAATATCTGGTCTCCCCGGACCCTGCATTCACAAGATGGTGCTGAGAATCATAAGATAGTAATGTGATAATTCGCACCATCTTGTGGCCAAATGTGGTGATCTCTGTTTTAGTGTTACTAAACCCAGGACCCTGCATTCACTATATCTGGTCTTCCCTGACCCTGCATTCACTATATCTGGTCTTCCCGGACCCTGCATTCACTATATCTGGTCTCCCTGGACCCCGCATTCATTATATCTGATCTCCTCGGACCCTGCATTCACTATATCTGGTCTTCCCGGACCCTGAATTCACAATATCTGGTCTCCCCGGACCCTGCATTCACTATATCTGGTCTCCCCAGACCCCGCATTCACTATATCTGATCTCTCCGGACCCTGCATTCCCCAGACCCCGCATTCATATCTGATCTCTCCGGACCCTGCATTCATCTGGTCTCCCCGGACCCTGCATTCACTATATCTGGTCTTCCAAGACCCTGCATTCACTATATCTGGTCTCCCCGGACCCCGCATTCACTATACCTGGTCTCCCCGGACCCTGCATTCACTATATCTGCTCTCCCCGGACCCTGCATTCACTATATCTGATCTCCCCGGTCCCTGCATTCACTATATCTGATCTCCCCGGACCCTGCATTCACTATATATCTGGTCTCCCCGGACCCTGCATTCACTATATCTGGTCTCCCTGGACCCCGCATTCATTATATCTGATCTCCTCGGACCCTGAATTCACAATATCTGGTCTCCCCGGACCCTGCATTCACTATATCTGGTCTTCCCAGACCCTGCATTCACAATATCTGGTCTCCCTGGACCCTGCATTCACTATATCTGGTCTTCCCAGACCCTACATTCACTATATCTGGTCTTCCCAGACCCTACATTCACTATATCTGTTCTCCCCAAACCCTGCATCCACTATATCTGGTCTCCCCAGACCCCGCATTCACTATATCTGATCTCTCCGGACCCTGCATTCACTATATCTGGTCTCCCAAGACCCTGCATTCACTATATCTGGTCTCCCCGGACCCTGCATTCACTATATCTGGTCTCCCCGGACCCTGCATTCACTATATCTGCTCTCCCGGACCCTGCATTCACTATATCTGATCTCCCCGGACCCTGCATTCACTATAACTGGTCTCCCCGGACCCTGCATTCACTATATCTGGTCTCCCCGGACCCTGCATTCACTATATCTGGTCTCCCAGGACCCTGCATTCACTATATCTGGTCTCCCCCGGACCCTGCATTCACAATATCTGGTCTCCCCGGACCCTGCATTCACTATATCTGGTCTCCCTGGACCGTGCATTCACTATATCTGTTCTCCCCAAACCCTGCATCCACTATATCTGGTCTCCCCAGACCCCGCAATCACTATATCTGCTCTCCCCGGACCCTGCATTCACTATATCTGGTCTCCCAGGATCCTGCATTCACTATATCTGATCTCCCCGGACCCTGCATTCACAATATCTGGTCTCCCCGGACCCTGCATTCACTATATCTGATCTCCCCGGACCCTGCATTCACTATATCTGGTCTCCCCGGACCCTGCATTCGCTATATCTGGTCTCCCCGGACCCTGCATTCACTATATCTGGTCTCCCAGGACCCTGCATTCACTATATCTGGTCTCCCCGGACCCCTGCATTCATTATATCTGATCTCCTCGGACCCTGCATTCACCATATCTGGTCTCCTCGGACCCTGCATTCACTATATCTGGTTTCCCCGGATCCTGCATTCACTATATCCGGTCTCCCCGGACCCTGCATTCACTATATCTGATCTCCCCGGACCCTGCATTCACTATATCTGTTCTCCCCACACCCCGCATTCACTATATCTGGGCGGACTGACCATTTGGAAACTCGGGCACTGCCCGAGGGCCCGGGATCAGTTAGGGGCCCCATGCGATGCCCCTGGTACCTTTTTCATAGGCTTTTTTGAGTTTGGGCAAGGACGCAGGGGCCCCATGATCCCTTATTTCCCGGGGGCCCCATGAGTTGTCAGTCCGCCCATGCCCTGCATTCACTATATCTGGTCTCCCGGACCCTGCATTCACTATATCTGGTCTCCCCGGACCCTGCATTCACTATATCTGGTCTCCCCGGACCCTGCATTCACTATATCTGGTCTCCCTGGACCCTGCATTCACTATATCTGGTCTCCCACAGTACACACAACATGGAAATGCAATTATTTTAGTAAATATAAACTGCTAAATACCTTTTCTCAGCAACAGTTAGATCAGTCTTGTGACTTCTATCAGTGTACAGCAGAGCAGTTGTTAAAGCATGTAGCTCTAGGATAATGCAGAACCCCTGACCTCTGTCTGGACAGTACTGATTGGAGAAGAAAGAGAAGTGCGCCAGACTAAGTGCAGTATGAATATAAAAGTTTATTGCACACAAGATTATAAAAACTCACAAGAAGTGGGTAGATATCAGGCATCAATATATAAGGAGGAAAATGTCATCTGTGCTGCACCTCACAAATGGATGGCTGCAATGCCAAGGTGTTGCACGGCTGGCGCTGTAGGCAGGGTCCCACAGGAGGAGGCGAGGATGGCAGGCGCAGTAACCGGGAGTCGCGGCGCAGATAAGAACCGGGATCCAGGGCAGGCACTGCTGATCTCTCACATCAGCGTGGGTACAGTAGCCAGCTTGAGGCACATCCAAGATGGCCGCCGGGCAGGAAATGACATCAGGACGTTGCTGGGAATCCTCCAAGGGGGCTGTGACGCGTTTCTAGGCAACCTGCCTTTTCATCAGACCTCTTTAATAATAACCTATTAACATTCATTTTTACCTATTGGTGCAGAACGAATGTACATGCATTTTCACTGGGTGAATTGCTATGCACGTTTTTTTTTTATAAATACACTCCTTAAAACAGAACTTCACTCTCTCAATCAATATTGACTCTTTTTAAAATCCTTATTTAGCTAGCTTTTTTAAATTTCTTCAGTTACTTCTTGGTTTTCATGCCTAGTAAAATGATGTCATACAGCCCAGGAATTTTCAGGAGGGGAGGAGGGGCTAAGCACACACCCTCCTGCCTGTATTCCTGAGCTAAGGGCAGATGGATTCCAGAAAATAAATGCTAAATGAATAATCTGTCCTTACTCAAGATGGCCACGGTCAGAGATGCTAGTGGGATGTTTTTCAAAGTGATTTCTCAGCAAAATAAAGAATGGAGACATGGTTGAATGGGGGAGTTTGCTTTGAATATTAAAAAGTAATGACATCACGTTTTTGGCTTGTGGTGCTCAGATGCAGTGTAGTTCTGTTGTAAAGTATATCTAGGAACAAAACTGAATATACTGCAGCTTACAAGTCCTCATACTGTATGTGGTGGCTGCATTAGTTTTTTTAAGGCTTTTCATATTTTTACCTAGTGATCCTGCCAGTAGCACCCTTCCTGTTTTAGGGTGACAACGTTTGCTTCCTGTACTGTATCTATGTACAAGCAGTGTTATCACCCTTGGACAGAAAGGGTCTTAGCATTACAGAACACCTTCCCAGCTGATGAACAGCATAGGATAGGAAGCATAGGAAGTTGCCAGCTTGTGGGCCGGGGTGGCAGGTGGTCGCCGATTGCCACGTATGTGACTGTAAGCCCACCAGGCTTGGGCTACGCCAGTAAGTGTGGGCGGAGTCACTCGGAGCGGAGTCACTGGGCTCAGTGTGGGCGGAGTCACTCACCCTGCACATGGGGTACCTTTCCTTTTGCTCATTAATGCCCGGGACAAGAAGCTGCGGTCAGGTGAAATCAACCTTAAGGCAGGCCCCCAAATGATGAGCCGTGCACCATATGAAATGAGAGTAGATACTGATTCCCAGTAAAACATGTGGGCCCATGTCACTGCACACCTTGACTGTAACTGTTTTATTTATGAGGGGCATCACTAAACCTATACCCACTCCAACCGTCCAGTGTACCTCTGCCACCTCACTCCCAGTGACAGAATGGGGTTCCATTGTGCACCTAGTGTGGACCTCAAGCATAGTTACATAGTTAGTCTGGCTGAAAAAAGACAAAAGTCCATCCAGTTCCACCATAGAAAAAAAAAAGTTATAATCCTATACCCACAGTTGATCCAGAGGAAGGCAAAAAAAACCCCAGCAAAGTATGATCCAATTTGCTCCTGCAGTGGAAAAAAATTCCTTCCTGATCCCCCGAGAGACAATTGGATATTCCCTGGATCAACTTTACCTATAAATGTTAGTATCCAGTTATATTCTGTGTATCTAGGAAATAATCCAGGACTTTTTTGAAGCAATCCAACACTTGAGGGAGTCTATTCCACATTTTCACAGCTCTCACTGTGAAGAAACCTTTCCATGTTTGGAGATTAAATTTCTTTTCCTCCAGAAGTAAAGAGTGCCCCCTTGTCCTCTGTGATGACCTCAAGGTGAATAACTCTACACCGAGTTCACTATATGAACCACTGATGTATTTATACATGGAGATCATATCCCCCCTTATGTATTTATACATGGAGATCATATCCCCCCTTATGTATTATACATGGAGATCATATCCCCCCTTATGTATTATACATGGAGATCATATCCCCCCTTACGTATTATACATAGTGATCATATCCCCCTTATGTATTATACATAGTGATCATATCCCCCCTTATGTATTATACATGGAGATCATATCCCCCCTTATGTATTATACATAGTGATCATATCCCCCTTATGTATTATACATGGAGATCATCATATCCCCCCTTATGTATTATACATAGTGATCATATCCCCCTTATGTATTATACATGATGATCATATCCCCCCCTTATGTATTATACATGGAGATCATATCCCCCCCTTATGTATTTTATACATGGAGATCATATCCCCCCTTATGTATTATACATGGAGATCATATCCCCCCTTATGTATTATACATGGAGATCATATCCC